CAACTTTCATTATTAGGCAGGATTGCTGCTATTAAAATGAATATTCTTCAAAAATTCCTATATATATTTCAGACAATCCCAATCAAAGTACACAGATTTTTTTTTTTTTTGAAGAACTTAATAAAATAACTGTAAAATTTATCTGGCTAGGGAAAAAACCTAGAATAAATTTAAAGGCAATGCAGGATATGAAGAGCAGGGGAGGGCTGGCACTTCCAAATTGGGAGTTGTATTATAGTGCAGCCTCTTTAGTATGGTTGAAGGAATGGGTGAATTTAACCAATAAGAGAATATTATTCTTAGAAGGCCATGACTTGCAGAGGGGGTGGCATGCTTTTTTATGGGATGTAGGGAAAACTAGCCAGAAATATTTTCACAGACACCTAATCAGAGACTCATTATTAACTAATTGGAAGAAAATATGGAAAAAAACACTATTTAAAAATACCAATTTGGATTTCAACAATGGAGGCAATGATTCATCCAAATAATCTGGATATCACTAAAATGATTAAATATAAGGACCTATTGGATACGCAAGGAAATTTGAAATCACAGCAAGAACTTCAAGAGCGGGGACTAAACATTGATCAGTGGACATATCTTCAAATTCAAAGTAGATATAAACAGGACAAGAAAGAATTTGGAATTTACAATAAACTCCAGCAATTAGATAAAATTTTATTAGGATCAGGCAAAAAAATATAACAAAATTTTATAATGATTTATTAGAAGTTGAATTAGAAGAAATTGTAAAAGGGAACATGATAGCCTGGAGTAGGAATATAGGACGTAGCATCACCATAACAGAATGGGAAAAGGTCTGGGGTAGAAATAATAAAATTACAAAATCGGTAGCATACAAAGAAAACGCCTATAAAATGTTTTATAGATGGCACCTTCCACCTTCGAGATTAGCGAAGATGCCCCCCAATATGAGTCCAAATTGCAAATGCAAAAAAAAAGGGGGGGACTTTTTTCCATATGTGGTGGTCCTGTACAGAAGCTCAAAAATATTGGCAGAAAATTAGAAATTGGCTGGTGGAAATGACAAGAGAACAGATCAAATTCAAACCAGAGTCCTTTCTGTTAGGGATCTTTGATAAACAAATATCAAAGAAAGTGAAATATATAATAATACACATTTTGACAGCGGCCAATTGGCTTTTGCACAATGTTGGAAGCAGCCTCATGTTCCATCAGAGGAGATGATTATTCAAAAAATTTCAAGTTGTGCAGAAATGGACAGATTAACCTTGGCATTAAAAAATAAAGACACTTCAATATACTACAACAGCTGGAACTGCTGGTACAAATGGATAGACCAAAGATAGACTTCACACTAAAAGGCAAAAGAGGATAGGATAGATCCATAGTAGTGATACACAGATATATGTAAGGATTAGGTGTGTGTATATGGCATAAAATAAGGATAAAAAAGAGGTCTTACAAACTGTTGAAGATGAGAATGTTCTTAATTGTTTTCTATTTTTCTCTTTCTATTTTCTTCTTTCTTTCTTCTTTTTCTCTCTTTCATTTATGAATGTGTTGTTGGTTTGTTTTAATTGTAAAATTAATAAAATTTATTTATAAAAAAAAGAAAATAACCAAAATGCTAACAAAAAGATTAGGGATAACTTCATGTTCAAAAAAATTCTGAATAATTGTGTATGCCATTAAGCAGCCTTACATCTAGCACCCTGTGGGCAGAGGTCTTCAAACTCAACAGCTTTGAAGGCTTGTGGACTTCAACTCCCAGAATTCCTCCTCCAGTCATGTTAGCTCAGGAATTCTGGGAGTTGAAGTCCACAAGTCTTAAACTTGCCAAGTTTGAAGACTCTTGCCTGTGAGGCTGGCAGGTATAGGAATCAAGAAGCACTTGCCTGTTTGGAATTAGATTCATTGATAGTAGGATAATATAACAGAATCTTGAAAGCCTACTGAACACTAACTTAGTGATAGTGTACCTAAGGTGGAATTGCTCTAAATCACCTTATCACCTTTCCTCTCTCTGCTGACTCTGGAATACTCTTCTGCAATAGCCTTATTTTGTACCTTAACTGAAGAAGCAACATGCATTCCAACATACTTTAAGCTATAATTTATTCTATCATACATAGGTACATCAAAAAAAAAATACTAATTTAATCCAAACTAAAAACAAAAGAACAAAAAGAATGTAAAAGTTTATTAATTATGTTAAGAAGGCTTTCCACATTAAGTGTGAACTGCGGAGTCCTTAGAGCATTCTGTCGTTGTTTGTTTGCTTGCAGAGTTTCATTACCCAATTGGATAACAACATCGTGAGTGTGAACTGTATATTCATCTCTTGCACTCTAAACATTCAATTACATTTGATTACTCCTAAAGTAAAAGGTAGCTATTTTAGGGATCAAAATTAGGAATAAAAAATTATGTATCCCTGAAGCTCTGGGTTATCTCTAGTAGTATTCCGCATTTGGTCAAAATTGAGTGGATTTTGGCAGCTAAGTGATATATCTTGGGGATCTGATCGGGTATTCTGACAGGCTAGCAAATTTGGGAAAAGTTTAGTTAGTTTTGTGAAAAGTTTAGTTAGTTCAGTTCATTGAGTTATAACTTCATCAATTTCAGCACTTATGAAAAATTCAAGGCATTGTTTAACTAATTTGACAAATTTGGGAAATTTTGCCATTTACTAGGCAACTATGACCCTTTCCAGAAGGGCAAACTCTTATTCTACACAGTGAGCTTAATTTTTTCAGGAAAAAAGTCCAGCTACTGCTTTTAGGAGAGGGAAAAGGGGAAATATAAACATTCTCCCAGGATTTTAACTACCATTCTCGTGAATTTAGAAAGACCTATAAGGAATAAGGCAACTGTTTAAGTCAACTTATCCTTTGGTAGGTGTTTTTTTTTATCGTTTTTATGGCCTCTGTAAAAAAAGTGTACAGCTTCATTTCCTCTGCATCTTTAAGCAGCGCTTAGCTATGAACCTGATCATAACCTTAACCTTCACAGTCCCTATTAAAAAAAAATGTCTGAGTTGATATTCACTGGTCACATAAGGAGTGAGCACCAGACCCTTGCCAACCACTCGTGCTTCAAAAAGTCTGCAAATTGGAAACAGAGGAATTAAGAATTGTGTAACATAAGCTATATAGACTTTATTCAGCCTTATTTGTTATTCAGAAATACAGTAACACTTTTTATGCCTCAGATATTCTATTATTTTCGTGTAGATGCCCACAGAGAGATGCCCAATTCTAAACTAATGGCAGCAGGGACATGTCTAGTTCTTTACTGGCCCAAGCAGGAGTAACCATTCAAATTCAAATTCAAATCACCATTCAAATCAGGACCAAACATTCAAATTAGCATTAATCAGACTAGCTGTTTGTTCCAATCTTCTAAGAAATCCTTCATGCACAAGTGAATTTCTTTTTTCAAAAATGGAACAGTCAAAATGACTTGAAATTGCTCTCAAACAATTTTGATTTTATACTCAAAATAGGATATAATGTACAATCCCTAATATTTCTCTTGCATTCTTGATGCCATTTTGGAAGATAGCGGCATAGAAATACCATAAAACAAATACATCTTTTGCTTCTTTGGCAAATGTTGCATAGATTGGAGAAATCAGCCATCTCTGCATTCAGAACAAACTGCTATTTTGAAATGCTCAGTATATTTTCATATTTTCTCTTGTAAATTGTCATTACATCAAATTCCCAAAATTGGGAGGAAGGGAAATTTCTAAAAGAAAAACTATGGGGCAAAAATGGTCCTCACACACTTAGGTTCAAAGATCATCAATAGGCAATCTTTGCCCAGAAGCCGACATTTTAAAACTGCACTCCTTTCTGTGCACTTAAAAAAATATTTCTTTCTATATGCTGACAAAAAGATAAGAAAAGGGTATTTTGCATTTCAACAAACAAGAATGAAATATGACAAACAAAAACCCTGCAGAAGCCACAAAGAAATCATTTTTACAACAGAACTAAATGAAACCATCTTCTTGAATGGATTGAAATATGGGAGATTGCAGCTTTTCTTTTGTTCTATTTCTCTGTAGCCATTTTTTCTGAAGTAACCTGTCATACATCAGTATGTCAGAGAACCCAAGTCTCGGAATGCTGAATAAAGTGAAGTGGAAGCAGTATTTTCCCCCGGATCTAATCTGTGGCCAGGGGTGTGATTCTACCGGTTCTGTCCAGCTCTGTAGAACTGGTAGCTCTGAAGAGCAGCAGACACAGAACCAGTTCTGTGTCTGCTGCTGTTTTGATCCACCTGCCCGCCCGGGCTCTTACCTGTCCTTTATTTCCTGCTTTTTCAACTGCAGCTGCTTTGTGCAGCACAGCCGCGGTTGAAAAAGCAAGAAAAAAGAGCTTTCCCAACTGCTGCACACCCGCACGCAGTGCTGCTAAGCTGTCCAGGCAGCTCAGCAGGTTGGAAATTGCGGATGCGCGCGCAATGCAAAGCAACAGAACCGGTAGTTATACCGGTCGGATCCCATACCTGTCTGTGGCTTTCTTCAATTACTAACTTTTAAGAATTGGAACCATTCCTTATACCCGTATGGATGTTCTTGGAAATGAATTGATAATTACAGGTTTGCCAGCTTGTAAACTAATTCCAAGCAGGCATCAAGAAATGAATTTTTTAATATAGATCTCACTGTGAGCATTGATGATTGGGCTGGTGGTGGAATGGTTTAGAACAAGAACAAACTGCACCAAGCAGCTCTAAACAGGCTCAGAAATATGGCTTCCAAAATTATATCTTGCAAACTATTTGGTTAGTGCTTTGTTAGCAAGCCTGACATGTTCAGCTTCAAAAGTTCAAATGCAATTCGAAAATCTTATTTTTATCCATCAATAAACCCCAGATCGCCATATCAACACCAAGGTTTCTCACACTGATTGCCAGGAGTGTTCACTTCAATAATTTCTGGGTCGTCTGAATAAGTAATTCTTACATGTTTGTGTTCCTTCTCTCTCTTTCTTATATGACAGGACTGCCAAAGAAACACAACTGGAGACCACTGTGACCGATGTCCGGAAGGCTACCTGGGTGATGTGACCAGAGGAGCACCCAGCTTCTGCCAACCTTGCCCTTGTCCCTTGCCTCTGGTGGCCAAGTAGGCAAACTAATATTTATTTTCAAATGATGTTAGTTATTAAGCCATCCCTCCTGCTGCTGAGAAAAATACCCATGGCCAAACTTCATTGCACTTTTAATCTACCTAAAAAAATTGTGTTGGTATGCGTTGCCTGATGCAGACATTATACTTAATCTTTTTTTCCCTTTTATTCTGTGACCTACCTTGTGTTTGCATGCTTGAGTGCCTTTGGGTCAGTTTTGACTCCTAAAGTGGTTTGCCACTGCTTGCTTCTTAGGGCTGAGGGAAAGTGATTGGCCCAAAGTCACCAAGTTGGTATTGTGTCTAAGGCTGTATTTGAACTCACAGTCTCCTGGTTTCTAGCCTCCTGGTTTCTAGCCTGATGCTTTAACCACTGTACCAAACTGGAGGGAAATAATTTATAGTACAAATGTGCCTTGAAAAAGAAGTATTTCTTTCTTTCAAGGAACTAGTTTAATTTTCTGGTTGGGAGCAAATTTGGGCACAGATGTTTTCAGGCAAATATGCCTCAAATCTTCAGATAAGGCTTTTTGGATATGTTACAGAACATTACAGCAATACTGTTGAGGTAATTCCCTGTTAGGAGAATGAGCGCATACAGGGAGACGTATTTGAGAGTAGTGTTTGAATAATACACACACAGTACACAGATACACTGTACAGTAAATGTAGGTTTTTACTTCCAGACAGTTTAAGCAAAGTTCAAGATAAGCAGTCCAAAAGTCATTCACAGGTAAATCAGTCAGTTTTTCAATCCAGGGATAATCCAGTAACAAAGTCCAGTGTCAAAAACAATTCAGTATCAGACTTACTTTAAATCCATGAATATCAGTCAATTAGGAAAAATGGAGGAATGGCAATACTTTCCAACAGAAGGAAACAGAGATACACTCACACTCTCTTCTAAGACTCAGACTAAACAACCCAGGTTTCTGGCTCCATTTTATGGCTGTTTGAGAAACCACACCCAATTGCATGCTCTTGCATTCCCTTAAAGATATAGTACTAAAATGTTTATCCTGGTTTATATATTTCTAACCCAAATACCTGTTAGGTGACTTATATTCCTAACAAATACCAGTGAAAGTATTCAAAAAAATTTACTACCGGTTCCGTGGACGTGTCTTGGTGGGCATGGCAGGAGAAGGATACTGCAAAATCCCCATTCCCTCCCCACCCCACTAACCTGCTTTTTCTTCTCCTGTGCTGGGCACCAAAAGAAGTCCCAGCTGTTCAGCTGGGACTCCAATCAGCTGGGAGTCGGGAGGCAGAAAACTGGGGCCAACCAGAGGTGGTATTACCGGTTCTTCGAACTACTCAAAATTTCCGCTACCAGTTCTCCAGAACCTGTCAGAACTGGCTGAATACCACCTCTGATCCAGACTAATAGAAATGATAAGAAAGTTTACATATGTAAAATATATGTGATATATCCAGCTGAAGTATTCAGTATTCTGAATGAAATCCATAAGAGCCCAGCATTATGAGGAGTGAATGAAATCCTACACTTATATTCAGCTAAACAATCCATGATGCTTGGGTCATCGTTTCAGAGATATTTTATTCTCAGATTCCTCAATGCCTTCAACAGTGTCATAGCTTCTAATGAAGTTGAAAAACATTTTAAAATTCAGGAGACATTAAGAGATGGATCTGCCTTCAAACTAGCCCATGATGAACTGTATAACACAATCAAAAATTAGGAATTGACCACAGAAAATGTTTTATGATATTTTGTATTATGTCATAAAATGCTTTATGATCATTTTTGTCATGAAATGTTTTATAACATTTCCCTAATTCCAATTCCATGGGAGTTATGGGTCCTGGATTGGAGCACATTCTATAAATTAGACCATTGAAAATGCCTCAGTTCAAAAAGTTTTAGTCTATGATGCACCATTTCACCCAGTTAAAGGTTATAGACACAAAACTTTTACTAATATATAGATAACATAGAATTCATGGTGATTTATCGGGCAGAAACTCAGAATAGTTTTAAGAGTCTAATAAATTGTCACTTCTTATCCTTATAATTTCCATTTCAATAGTAGCCCGATTTCATACAATTTTCGTAACCTTTAAGCTGACAGACTGCATGGATGGTCTATTAGTCTTGCTTTCAGGGCATTTATTTCTTTTTTTCCCATGAATTCATACATATTGCTTATATTGCAAAAAATACATTGTGGAAGACAGATGTTGAAACTGTAAAAGATCAGGTAAAAAAAATCCTTTCCTACTTCCTTCCCTTTGGTAGATATGTTATGATGCAATTAACTATATGATTTTTTTTTTAAAAAAATCACAGTTTATAATGCTCTTTGCCTAATGTGGATAATGGATTAGTAACATTTGGGATCTGTTCCAATGGGTGGAGATAAGTCCATTTGGTTTGTCTCTTAGATTTGAAGATTTTATAACAAGAATAAAAGATGAATGCAAAAAAGAAAACATTGGTACAACAGAAAAAATGGATACAAAATCTTCGGGAAGCAATTGTGTTTACTCAGATAGGTTTATGAGAATGCCTTTAAATGAAAGAAAGTCTTTCTTAAGAGTGTGCCTTACAATATCTGTAGAAGGTCACCTGAGATGATAAAAGGTACAGTATCTCCCCATTCAGATGTGACCTGTGTCCACTACCAAATCAATGAGATGCTTCTCCTCCCCCAATACACATGAACTGTTGAAAACACCCCTGTAGAAAAACATTCACAGCAAACTGAATTGACCTTGAAGAGCAATATGGAGAAGATTTAGTCTGGAAGCTGTGGCCCAGTAAACCAGATTTTGTTATTCACTGACCATATCTCAGAGACATATGGCTAGTATACTGACCTAGTAGGAAAAAATAAATGATATCTCATGAACAGGTTTACCTAAAACAGTAATCACACTGTAATTTCCACCATGTCTTCCTTTTTCAGTGTCTTGTCTTTGCAATGTAGTGAGTCCAAGGTGTATAAACTCAGGTTCTACATTTCCTTATGGCTGTTCAGCAAAATGCAAAGCTTTGTGGGATCCCAGTATACGGTATTCTGTGTAATGTACAAGTAATCCTTGGTTTACAACATTTCATACAGTGAACTGCTCAAAGTTATAGGGGCACTGAAAAAAGTGACTTAGGGAGGTTTTTCACAGTTACAACCTTTGCAAGCTTCTGTATGATCATGTGATCCAAATTCTGATGCTTGGCAACTGGTTCAAATTTATGACCGTTACTGTGTCCTAAGGTCATGTGATCACCTTTTGTGACCTTCTGACAAGCAAAGCCAATGGGGAAGCCAGATTTACTTAACAACCAGATTACTAACTTATCAACTGCAGTGATTCACTCTGTCATAAAATGAGGCAAAACTCACTTAACAAATGTCTCACTTAAGAACAGAAATTTTGGGTTCAATTGTAGTCATAAGTCGAGGATTACCTGTATTACTGATTGCATGCTACAAAATTATGTCATTTCTTTAAAGTGATGTTATTGCGTTAGGGGAACCAGCTTTGGTCACAATACAACATAAGAGTTTTACTGAAAAATGTGCAAGAACCTTACAATTCCAATAGCTTTTATTATTGGTAGGATTTTAGGAAAGCACAGAAACTCTATAGAAAGGAGCTTTAATTGCTGAAAATGTTCCTTTGACAGAAGCCTTTTATCAGTTAAGGAAATTAGTTCAATTCATCCCATTTAGAACAAGTGTTCAGCCATGCTCTAAAACTGACACCTCTCATTAAATGCAATATAGTGTCTTCTGTGACCTGAGATCTTGTAAAGAAATGATGTTCTTTGTGGGGAAGGGGGCAGATCTCTTTCTTTTTAGGAATATCTTTTTAATCAAGCTAGAGCCATCATTTTCTCAGATCATTTTTCTCTTTTGTCCCTAAACTTTAAAACATTGAATGGAAACGTGCTTGTACACATGCAGGTAATTTCACGGAGATAAATGTTAATACATTATATGGTAAAATCCTAATACACTATATATAGCATCAAATAAATTCACTCTGAAGAACTTACATTTTATGATAGCTATGTTTTTCTAGTATGCTTAACAAAAAGAAAAAGAACATCAATCTTTTGGCTTTTCAATCAATAGAATGCATATATTGTTTTTCTTTTTTTAAAAAAAATTACCCAGTGCAGATATTTACATTTTAAACTGCCTTAGGTTAAGCACCCCACCTTCAGTATCACCATACCCAGATACGCACACACACATATTTAGTTCCTTTTTTGAACCCAGCTTTCACACATATTCTTGTTTGGGGGGAATACATCTTTCACAAAGGAATGGCTCCCTGTTTAGATTTTTGACCACAGAAAGGCAACCACTTACAGGCTCCACTGAATGAAGCCAAAAAGGCTCCATCAAGTTGAATTCAACTTCAGCATGCTCTTGGCGACAATATGGAAATGGAATGCCATTGCCTTCAAAGACTTTTTTTTCAACTTCCTAGTATACAGGTGAAACTCAAAAAATTAGAATATCGTGCAAAAGTCAATTTATTTCAGTAATGCAACTTAAAAGGTGAAACTAATGGATGAGATAGACTCATTACATGCAAAGCAAGATAGTTCAAGCCGTGATTTGTCATAATTGTGATGATCATGGCTGACAGCTCATGAAAACCCCAAATCCACAATCTCAGAAAATTAGAATATTGTGAAAAGGTTCAATATTCTAGGCTCAAAGTGTCCTACTCTAATCAGCTAATTAAGCCATAACACCTGCAAAGGGTTTCTGAGCCTTTAAATGGTCTCTCAGTCTGGTTCACTAGGAATCACAATCATGGGAAAGACTGCTGACCTAACAGTTGTGCAGAAAACCATCATTGACACCCTCCATAAGAGGGAAAGCCTCAAAAAATAATTGCAAAAGAAGTTGGATGTTCCCAAAGTGCTGTATCAAAGCACATTAATAGAAAGTTATGTGGAAGGGGAAAGTGTGGAAGAAAAAGGTGCACAAGCAGCAGGGATGACCGCAGCCTTGAGAGGGTTGTCAGGAAAAGGCCATTCAAAAGTGTTGGGGACTTTCACAAAGAGTGGGCTGAGGCTGGAGTCAGTGCATCAAGAGCCACCACACACAGACGGATCCTGGACATAGGCTTCAAATGTCGTACTCCTCTTGTCAAGCCGCTCCTGAACAACAAACGTCAGAAGCGTCTTACCTGGTCTAAACAAAAACAGAACTGGTCTGTTGCTCAGTGATCCAAAGTCCTTTTTTCTGATGAGAGCAACTTTTGCATCTCATTTGGAAACCAAGGACCCAGAGTCTGGAGGAAGAATGGAGAGGCACACATTGCAAGATGCTTGAAGTCCAGTGTGAAGTTTCCACAGTCTGTGTTGATTTGGGGAGCCATGTCATCTGCTGGTGTTGGTCCACTGTGCTTCATTAAGTCCAGGATCAACACAGCCATCTACCAGGAGATTTTGGAGCACTTCATGCTTCCTTCCACAGACGAGCTTTATGGGGATGCTGATTTCATTTTCCAGCAGGACTTGGCACCTGCCCACACTGCCAAAAGCACCAAAACCTGGTTCAATGACCATGGGATTACTGTGCTTGATTAGCCAGCAAACTCGCCTGACCTGAACCCCATAGAGAATCTATGGGGCATTGCGAAGAGAAAGATGAGAGACATGAGACCAAACAATGCAGAAGAGCGGAAGGCCGCTATTGAAGCATCCTGGTCTACTATAACACCTCAGCAGTGCCACAGGCTGACAGCTTCCATGGCACACCGGAATTAGGCAGCAATTGCTGCAAAAGGGTCCCAAACCAAGTACTGAGTACATATGCATGCTTAGACTTTTCAGAGGTGCGATATTGTTCTATGTGCAATCCTTGTTTTACTGATTGCATGTGATATTCTAATTTTCTGAGATTGTGGATTTGGGGTTTTCATGAGCTGTAAGTCATAATCATCACAATTATGACAAATCATGGCTTGAACTATCTTGCTTTGCATGTAATGAGTCTATCTCATCTATTAGTTTCACCTTTTAAGTTGCATTACTGAAATAAATAGACTTTTGCATGATATTCTAATTTTTCGAGTTTCACCTTCTAATTTTTCAAGTTTCTCATCCTAACATGGCTGGATCTGCTTAGCTTTGTGAGATCATCTAAAATTAGCTAAAGGTTGTCACCTACTGAAGCTTTTAACCCAAAGTAGACATTTCTCCATTCAGCACTGTTACTTATTCTGATTTCTGACAAGTGTTTTTCCATTTTCTGCACACAAATTCCTGGTACCTTCTGTATAGAAAATGTTCTACTGTTCAACACACATGCATACATGCGCCTCTCCACCCCACCAGATATTTAAAGCAGACTTTATTACATTGTTGATATGTATCAGAGGTCATTTTATTTATTCTTAGAAAATAAACTTTTGAATTGCTCAGAGTTTTGCAAAATATCTTGCCATCATCTTTAGGATTTCCATTTATTTGCAACTCATTTCATATCTCCATGAAGGCAAAGAATGTTTCCTAATCGATCTTTCCATCATTGTCATGAAAATGTTGCCAATGAAGTGCAACTGATTTAAAATATGGTTTATGTCTGATTGATCCTATCAAGAGCCATATTCAAAGCTACTGTGCTGTGTGTCCCTTTCAAACAAAAGAGATATTCTCGGATTAATAGTTTAAAAAAATGACACATCCATGGTTGCCTGCCCTTAGAATAGTTAGGATTTTGGGCATACATTCTCAAAGTATTACTGTCATCATTATTTTCACTTTATTCACTTTTTCCTTTTACATTAAAAATATATTGTTACAGGAATGTAATTCCTTAAAAATTATGGGAAACAAAGGCTTGCTCTTCTGTTTTGCAACAAAGAAATTAGCTATAAGACTAACACAGAACAGGGATTTATAAAGTCTGGCCAAAAATGTATCAAGTTCTTTAAACTGGCAGCTTCATTATTTACACAGTTGTTCTTGGAACTCATCTTGTAGGGATTGTGATGGATTTTCTGAGCAGGCATGGAGGTCTGGAAGATTATCTCCATTCATATTGGATAGCTTGGGAATTTGCAGAAAAGTCCTGGAACAACAGAACATCAGTTGTTTAAAATGTCAACATATGTGATGATGATGATGATGATGATGATGATGATGATGATGATGATGATGATGATGATGATGATGAT